GACACAGTTTGCAGCATAGATTTATTTTCCCAGTATTAACTTATGGTAAAGCTTAACACTGTCACATATTTGTAGATTGATTCTTTAGTATACTCAAGGACAACTACATTTTGTGTGTTACCTACTACTTCTCTTTTTTTTATACAATCAGATTAAATACTAAGAAAAGAAAACATTATATTAGGTGTTACTGAAACTGTGGAAAAACATATAAAGTTGGATTAAGGATGAGAAGAAAAAGTGTATGTGTTAAAATAAAGATATATTTATGGATTTGAATTGTATTTTACCAGTCTTACAAAATATCTGTCTGTTGTATAATTCCCTTTTTTTGCTACCCAGAAATAACAACTTCAATATTTACACTTTTAAGCAATATATGTTTATAAGTTGTAATTATTGGAAATACATTACCCTTCCACAACAGGAAAAATACATATTTAGATATATTTAAGTAAATTTTCTATATTTTCATATAGGTATTATGCATGTAGCTAGCAACACCATTGTAAGCTGAATGTAGAAGAGACAAAAACTTGCACCATTTTTTTTCTTACACAAATGTTATATACTATAATGACTGTTTCAAGGGGCTTATACTAGTATAGCCATGTTTCTTTCACACCATTCTGTAATGCAGTCCAAGGAATGGTGAAGAAATGTGTGCAAGTTATGAGTCGGGAGGTTATCTCTACTGAGTATGTTTATGATGAATAATTTTTGACACATGTAATCTAAGGATTATAGGATATCACATTAGGACTCCGGTCTGACCTTAACATTGAGTTACAGTGAAACACAATTAACCCAAACACATCTGTAATGTAGTAGTTTTCCAGATTATCATGACATCCAGATTGTCAAATAAGTCACTTAGAATACAATGAACACCATTAACAACATACATTATTGATCAATAAATGTAAGAGTACAAACTAATAATAGTGTGTATGAAACTGGTATACAAAAAGCAAATGCATGTCAAATAAACTTATACGGGTATTATTTAATATGTCCTCAATAATTATACAAATTGCATAATCAAAGTAGTATGTTACATCATTATCTTGCATGGTATCAAGAGTTACACTCAGATTTGTTTTATTGTATACAAACATCATTCTTTAATGATGCTGATTCTTAATTTTGGAGCATAGTGACTTGATGACTATAGCATAAATCACCCTGATAATCTCACAATATCCACTATAGTTCATACATACATCCCTACTATAACGATGTTTCACAGAAAAAGCATTGTAACCCTCATCCCCTGCAAGTGCAGGTGTTTTGAGGTCGATAATTATCCTGTTACAAGCAACTCCTGTTTAACTCTACTGGAGTTATGTACAAATTACTAAATACACATCCACAGAAAATATAAAATGCACATTTGTTATAATAAATAGTTATTTGAACATGGAACATAAATATATGTATTACTGATGAAATTTCCCATTGTGAAAATGTGTATACATTAAATATCATCTGGATTGTAGATGACCAGACTAATGAGATTTCACTGCATTTCATAATTCTTGATCATGTGTCTTCCTTTGTAAATATATTATCTTTTATCTTGTCCCCAGAAGTGAGAGTATAGTAAAGCAGCAAAGACTGGAAAATCTAAAGTGCTGAATGAACCAGCACATGAGAAAGTGAAAAAAAAAAAGGCAGGACACTGACTAGTTTCAATACACTAACAGTTCACAGCTCAGAATTACCTAACTGCAGTTTAATTAACATCTCAATGTTTCAGCATTATTCATTCTCTGTTTTTGTCTCCGGACATAATGTGTTTTTATGAAATAAATGGTATCTAACAACAATTTTATTAATTTTCACTCCACTTCTGCAACCTCTCCTTGTAGTCCAGTTTATCCATAAGAATGCTAATGCCCTAGCCCATGGCAGACCAGCAGTATTCAAGATGCTGTTGATATTGCTAGATGTGGCCATATTTCATCTTGCAATGATTCTAGTATTAGGAGTTTTACAAACAAAATTGATAAGTTTTAGAGCTCTAGTTGAAATGGAAAACTACAAAACAATGGAAATTATTGAAACTTGGTTAGATTTGGAAAACAAATAATAATAGGAATTATCTTGAAATTCTAGTTTTATAAGGTAATTAACAGTGATAAAAAAATTTTTAAATCAAAATGTGGTGGCTTTTGTGTAAGGGATTAACTGCATTCTGTTTCGATTGAAGACAAAAAATTGTGGTCAAGAGATTGAATCTATATTGGTTACAATCAGGGGTTTCAATGATATAAAGGTTTAATTGGCAATTATCAAAGGTCACCTGATCAAACAGATGAGATCAATGAGAAACTATATAATAAAATAAAGATTGTTTCTATCTAGAATACTGATTCAATAATTATGAGAGACTAATTTTAGGCACATTGTTTGGGATTGTATGATATAAAGTCACGTTCATTTGTTGTTAAATGCAAAGCTACACCACGGACAATATGTGCTGTGCCCATCACGAGTATCAAAACCTGGTTTTTAGTGGCATGAGCACTCAGACTTACTGCTGAGCTACTAAGGGCATCAAGTAGTGACGGAGATTCTTGAAATGTTTCAGAAAGGTTTTCTATACTTTGTTCAAAGACTAACCAGGACAGATGCTATTTCAGATTTATTGTTAACCATTAATGAGTACATAGGTGCAAAAATTGAAATGGAGGAACACTTAGGGAAGAGAGACGAGAGGTCCAAGTGGTCCAAAATTGTTAGAAGTAATAAGTTTAAGCTTTAGAAGCCTAGACTTAAACTTGTACTTTGGCAAAATCTTACAATAAAAATTATAAACTTTTAGAATGATTTGGATGATACAATATTTTCTGTAAGTATTATTTGGATATATATATGGTAACAAAGGGTTAAATTTAATTTGATTTTGATAATTTGGTTCATTTTATAAGCAGTTTTATCACTTTTATGTCCTACGAGAAGTAAAATTTTGTTGATATGGGAAAGTTAGATGTTAAAGAGATGGATGATGACCTTGAACATCTTGGAACAGTTGATAAATGGAAACAAGATCAAACAAGATGACTGCATTCATTCAAAAAATTGGGAAGTTTAAGAAATGATACGTTTCCTTGGCCAGATAATGTTTCCCCAAGGGTTTTGAAGGTTGGATATGTGAACCATTTTTGTAAGTCCTTGAATAGTGGGCAGGTACCAGAAGATAGGAAGTTAGCTAAATGTAACTAATCTTTTCAAGGGAGGTGATAAATATTGTCCCAGTAATTATAGACCCATTAGTCTCACATCAGTTGTGCAAAAAATTTTGGAAAGTCTGTTAAAAGATGCTTTGCAGTCATTTAACAAAATTTAGAATTTTATTGGATAGTTAACATAGTTTCACCAAGGGAAAATCTTGCTATATAAATCTTTTAACATTCTTTGAAAATGTTAATACTTATGTAGATGAGGGTAAGGGTGTAGATTTGGTGTATCTGGATTTTCAGAAAGCATTTGACAAGATGCCACATAAAAGGCTTGTAAAAAATTAGCTCTATAGGTATGGGGGATAAGTTAACAAATTGGACAGAAGAGTGGCTGGATGGAAGAAGGCAGAGGGTTGTTACAAATGGAGTTCAGTCAAACTGGATTAATGTCACAGGTGAGGTACCTCAGGGCTCAGTCTTAGGA